GGTTACACTGCCATTGCCTACTCGTAGAGTAACATTTAATTTCGATAGAAAAAAAAAAAGTCCCTCACTCAAAGAAAACCAAACTCCATATGAAAGCGAAGGTTAGGAGATCGAACCTAACTATCGTGGAGAGTGAGGATGTTGCCTTCCTTACTACTGGCTCGTGCTAGCAGGTTCGGACTTGCTCCTACTGCTCGCATACTTGGCTTGCCTGTTCACATGCTTGCTGGTGCACCTCACTCCTCTTGGAGGATTAGTCCCACACTTCTGAGTGTGGATCCCTTAAGCCGTTAGGCCCGTACCTCGTGGGAGGACTGGCAGTTCGTGGTGAACTTTAAGAATGAACGTGAGGATACCTTCAATCGTATAAAAAAAAATCACTGTGGTCATTATTATTAAAGCCTAAAAGAAGGTGGACAGTAGAGTTTGCCTCATCGACTTGGGATACAAATAAACTCCATAATGAGAACAAAAGATATTGATATGTACCATAAATACGGCAGATAATTGTCAATTTGTCACATACACAGGCGTTAATACGATTTTCTTAATTTTCTCTACATTTCCTGTCTAATTTTCTCTAATTTTGATGGAACAGTCGTAAATACAATTTTCTATGTATATATATAAAAAAAAAACAGAACTCCACACACCTCAAGGAAATAACGATCATTGTATAAAATGTTTTACATTTTCATTTTTTGGCTTAATAACTAATACTCAATCTCGTCTATGTTGTGGATTGGAGCGGGTTCTCGCTGGGCCGAGTGGTGGTCCATTAGTTGGCCCTAATTAGTGTTGTCTCATTGGCATCGGTCGGAGCCGAGGTATTGGTCTTCCTCTCCCCTTGTTTCGTTTCCCCTGGGAGTTTGGTTTTTGGCTGGCGACTCCAGCCAGATGTCGGGCTGGGGTCGCCAGTGGTGTGCGAGGAAAGGGGATGTTGTTTCCAGTAAATGGTCTAAGTGTGGTCCGTTCGAGAGAGGAGTTTTGGTCCGTCTTGTGGTCCAGTAAACAGTTTAGTGGAGTCTTAGGTGCTATACTCGGGTCGGGGTTCTATTCGTTTGCGTGGTCGTCCCCGAGTGTCTGGTCGTGGTGTGTTACGGATTGCTTTACTGATTGAGGAGAGGGTGTTATATTCTAGTATTGCTAGCGTTTTAGGGTGTTTGTGTTGGTATTTTGAGTTGTTTTGTTGATTCATTGTTCTAGTCTTCTTTGTAGAAGCTTTATTCTCCTCTTATGGGATTTGCTTAATGTTTTTGTCTTGTGAGTGAGCTTGTATAGTTTGTTCTAGGTTATTGTTGTGTGTAGGTCTCCCATTAAACTCAGCTGGATGGATGTTTGACTAATTTTAGTTGTTGTCTAGTATCATAAAGACCTCCGACCAGCTAGAAACGGTTGGAACTGGCTAGATCTCGAGCTTGACTGTCGGTTGAACGTCTTCAGACCCACGAACTCTCACACAGAAGGGGTTTTCTTGTTAAAAACCTCCGATGGCTAAGTTAGCACTTGTAGAAGATGAAGTGTAGTATGTAAAGTATAGAGAGTATAATAGTGAATATAACCCTAAAACTGCATATCTCACTTCTATTTATAGGAGTGGGTTATCTGTTTCTACAAGCCTGCCTGGATATGGTGAGTTGGCTGCCCAAGCTACCCGTACTGCCCCAAAAGGTTATGGGACGTAGACCAATCAGATAGTGCCATGTGTCTTGTTTGCAGTATTAATTACAATGAGATTCCTTTTAATCTTTTAGTCTTCTTCATCAGACGATCTAACCGTTCGTCTGATCTTAATTACCTTGAAGTGTCATCGTTGTCGAGCCCCAAAATTCTACTAATCTGGTTGATCATTTGACCAGTTACTCTTTCATGTCGAAATCTCACTAGGTCCTCATTTGACCCACTGGTACCCTTCATGCCACCTATATCCTCCTCGACCCAGGCATCCTTCGACTTGTGGAGTATTCGTTCTCCGTTCGACCCCACGACTGACCCAACTCAGTCTAGTCGATTCCATCAATCTTCACTAGTAAAATAGAGCAACATCGCATATTTCCATTAATCTTCACTAGTAAATGATTTACATCGATTCCCAAAAAAAAAAAAACAAAAATTTTCGCTCATAATATATTTTCAAATTTGCAATGTTCCATGACCTGGGTAAAGACCTTTCCTCTGCGCCACCATTGAACTTTTTTACCAGATATGGTCCCTCCCAGTTTAGTTCAAGCTTGCCAACATGTTTCTAGATATCAACTCCCTTCCATACCAGGTCGCCAACCTGGAATCTCCGTACCTTGACCTTTTTATTATGTGACTTCCGCATTGTTTGTTTCTGTGCCGCTACTCTGGTCGACGCCTGCTCCTGCAACTCGTCGATTTTGTCAAGTGTTGCTCGTACCAGCTCTTCATTCTATTCCTGGTTATATGGGGTCGATCATCGGGACTCCAGCTCGATCTCAACAGGTAGCAATGCTTCCATCCCATACATAAACTGAATGGGGTCTCGCTAGTCGTCGACCTCAAGGCAGTTGATGGAACTAATCCTACGTTGATCATTCCAACGATAAGAAAAGCTCTACACCAAACAACATCGTTGTACTTATGAAGCACCGCGATATTTTCAAATGACCTCAAGTGTCTAGCTGGATCTGTTGGTCATCATAGGATAAGTTTACTAATGAAAATTATTAAGTATATTGGCCTCTAGGACTTCATCAACAAATGGATGACCATGCACTTGAGGTGCCATTCTATCTCCAACTCGGGCCTGTAAATCCCTTACTTGAGCTGCTAGCATATCCAACGAGGACTCATGAGAAGGTCATGACGCCGTTGTCGGCCGACGTCAGCCTCTCATCTGCATCCTCAAGCACCGTTTACGGCTATGGCTATGGCGTAACAGGCCTTGGTTGACTTAGACCCTGAGCCCGGGCCAACGCCTCGGCCACAACTCTATCTAATTCTTCCCTGGTGAGCTAAATGACCTCCCTTTCTCGTGGGGCCTCCTATCCTTTCGCATTTAGAGTCTTCCCTTTGACCTGATCTTGAGGTCGATTTACCAAGTTGTCTTGCTGTTGAATGATCGTGCCTTAGATTGCTACCAGCCCCTGTCCCTCTGGGATTCCGTACATTCCTGCACGATCACCGAATCCTAACATGACGGGAGTTCTCTCTCTGTGCCTACCACTTGGGTTATCGTCATGTGAGTCTCCTAGGGTGTGACTAATGTGCATGTCGGCATCGACCAGCTAGGTGGAGGTCCTGTCCCCATCGTCCGGGACACCCAAGCTGCATATTTTTCAATATGTTTTTTCTTAGAACTATCTGCTGCCATGTTCTTCAAACTGACAAGTTTGTTGTGAAAAAAACCGATCAACCCCTTATAGCTAGTAAAAGACTGAATATTCCCACATATAGCGCTATTTTGATATGTCAATGCGCCTGGAGGAAGTCCTTTCATAGACACTCCGACGCTTAAGTCAGAATTGGTTCGAGAGAATAAACTGAGATATAATGGAGATAATGCTCATAATGGCGCTAATAATAACATAGAACCTAGTTACCCTTATATAGGGTGAATGTCTTGATATCTTTCATAGCTTGCCATGTCTCTATTCATGCAAGTATTCTTCGCAAGCTATACTTTTCATGCTACTAGGATCATTTCCCCTTTACCACATAGCCTCGAGGTCCAAAGGTCGTAACCACGACCAGCTGAACTTTCTTCTATAAGACTTTACCGATGTTGATGCCCGACCTCACCAATAGGAAACCTCAAGACCTTGACATCTCCCTTCGTATCCAAGCTCTTAGAGGTCGTTACGCCTAGGTCGTCTTATAAAGTCGTCATGTACCATGAGCTGTGTCTGCGAGCTCTGAATGTGTTAGCTTCTTTTCAACGAGTTGGAGCTTGTTTGGACCGGCCTACTCCGAGCTAACCACTCAGACAGGTCCACCAAGCTATTCTGAGTGCTACATCAATGCAAATGACACGAGACCTAATGGAACCAGCAGAAATGCAATGGACACGAAACCTACAACTACGATTACTAGACCGTCTATTCAACAACGCATCATGCATCTACTTTCATCAAAGTATGTAAATAAGAGAACGATGGGAACTTTAATTCTCAATGTAAAAGATACATAGACAACTTAATTGACATATCATAAGATAAATAATATTCTTTAACCCAAAAATTCTTTGTCTTAAATAATATTTAAATTTATAATATATCAAGTTAGCGAAAGTCCAATTTCATTAAACCCCATTCAACCCTTCACCCCCATTTATCTTTTTAAAAACTGGCCTTGAACTAGCCATGCACGATTGGCTCCAAACCACCAGTTCACTGAACCGGCCGGTGCATATATTCAGACCGAATCAGGACCCCCAAACCCTCATATTGAAATTGTATTTTCGCCACGTCTAATAATGGGTTACTAAAACCAAGTTAAATACAACCAATAGAGTTGATTTAATTATTACTACTAGAAACAGATAATTTAATTTTAAAACAGAAGAAAAGATAATTTCCCCACAAGTCCTCTCATCACAAATATAGAACTCTGCACCATCACACAGGCAAATGTACAATTTCTGGCGACTCTTTTGTTCCTTTCACCGAGTCCACGTCCTCTCATCTCCTTCAACCTCGCAAAAGTAATATATTTTTACTACACAGTAATAATTAAATTATTCCACCACCAAACACACTTTTTTTTTTACCCTTTTTGCCCACACGTTTTTTCCGTCTCTTCATTACCATCTTCCCCACGTGAACTCTGAATCTCTGAACCACTCCCCGGGCCCCACACCTCCCATTCCCTGTCTTTCTCTTTCTCTCTCCTCTTTTTTTTCTTTTCTTTTCTTTTACCCCGAATATTTTTAATTAATTAAAGCTTTTCCACGATGGGACTCGGATAGAGACTGGTGAAAAAGCTTGATTATTTTACAGGGACTGTACAAAATTGTCTTCTTCTTCTTCTTCTTCCTTCTCAACTCTCAAGGCCCTCGGATTATTTTGATTTTTTTTTTTGCAGTTTTTTTTGTTGGTAATTCAGTTCCACTCGTACCAATGGAGGCTGGGAGGCTGGTCGTCGGAAAAGAAAGTGCTGCAAGATTCCTCGCCGAAAAAATTGTGCTCTTCGATTTTCACAAACTGCTGCTGCTGATGATGATTATACTGATGAGCGCCGTCACCGATAATGTTTTTCCCGCCGAAAATCGCCGTTTTGGGTTGTTCTTGGAATTGGAAATTGTCCGAATTATGATTAATAAAATTCGGATGGCCGTCGATTTCCAAGAACTGGTGCTGGCGTGGGCTGCTACTGTTCCGATTGTTGTTATCCTCGTTTAGGATTGCGCTTGAATTGTCGCTGTCTGATGACCCGTCTTTTGAATCGCCGGCGAAACCCGACGGGTCGTGGCCCGGAATCAGCGGGGCTTCTTGCTCTTTGTCGCCGTCGTTGTTGAGGTTTTCTGAGTCGGAATCTTTGTCCGGTTTGGGGATGATCGGAGCTTGGGGCTCGCTTTTCTCCTCCGAGTCGGACATTAGTTCATCTTCTTTCTCCGACTGTTTGCTTTCTGAGTTGTTGGGACCGTCTTCTTCGTTTATCTTCGATTTCAGCTCTCGAATCTGAAGAACACATATTAAAAAAAAATACTTAATTCAACTTTCGAAATTGTAGACTGTCCAGATTTGGATTTATTATTTTATTTCAACAATTTCACAGCTCTCGAGAAAAAAAAAAACTTTAAATCAGCTAAAATCAGGGGGAAAAGTAAATTATCCTTTTAAAAAAATCAAAGATTACTTCGAAATTCAGCTAAATTAGAGAGTGAAATTGTGTAATACTTAAATTAAACAAAACGGCACTATATGCACACACTAAAAATCACCAAAAAAATCACGAAATTAATTGAACATATTAATTTATTAATTAAAATCTAAAAAAAAATCATAAAAAAAGCGACCTCTTTGAGTAGAGCTTCATTATCACGCTGCAGCTTCTCGAAATTGAGCTTAAGCCCATCGTAATTGGCCTTGAGAAGCCCGTAATCCCTCTCGAGCTGCTTAGTCTTCCACCGCGCGCGGCGGTTCTGGAACCAGACGGCCACCTGGCGCGGCTGAAGGCCGAGCTCCTGCGCCAGCCTCACCTTCCTCTCCGGCTCCAGCTTGTTCTCCACCTCGAAGTTCTTCTCCAGGGCTTTGACCTGGTCAACGCTCAGCCTCCTTTTCTTCTCCGATCCTGCCAGCTGGCAGGATTCCTGGTCCATACACTGCTCCTCATCGTAACCCTCCATCATCGCGTACATGGGATTATTCCCCCGCCTGTTATGCTGCTCCTCTAAAAAAAAACGAGTTGATATATATTTAGAAAGTTTTCTGTTTCCGATTAATCAAACAATTTAAAAAAAAGGGAATTATAAAGGGAAAGAACAAACATTTCGTGAATTTGGACCAGCTAAGCTAAAAATGGAAAGTTCTTTTGATTTAGAACGATTTTCGTATCAACAAAATGGTTTTCTCCGGGCACTATGATTACGTGGGGGATATATATGTAGATTAGGGACAGGAAAAGCATAATTCTTTTTTTTTTTTAACTTTTTATTTTTATTTTATTTATTATTCTGCTTTTGTTTTTGTTTCATATCAAACAAGCAACTACTAATCAGTGCAGAATAGAATAAATCTTCTTGTTATTTATAATTAATTAAAGCACCTGTTGAATTGGGACAGATGGACATCAAGGCACCCAAGGAATCAGAGCTGCCAAGTCTCTTCATGCTTGCTTTCTTCTTGATGACTTAGACAAAAACGACACCGTATTAGTCAAGAAGCTACAGATCTCCTTCTAACACCACCAGCTCTTCATATAAAGTGTATCAGCTCAGATAGATAAATGAGAGAGAGAGAGAGTGAACAAGAGAGAAGCCAAATTAAAGGGGGAGAGAGAAAGAGAGAAATAGCTCAAATTAAAGGGTCTTTCTTTTAAGTTGCAAATTACAAGAAATGGCAGAAGCCAAACTCCCATGACAAAAACAATCCCAAGAAGGCACAGTTTTGTATGCATATAATAATATTACTGTGCAGCTTTTTCTCTCTCTTGAACGCTCCATTTTTCTCCCTTTTAATCATCTCACCTATCTCCACACCCATCAAAAGGAGATTTAAAAAAAAAAAAGATAGAAAACACAGGAAAATGATGTCACAAACCCAACGAAATTAAATTTTGTAAAGAAAAAAAAAATAAAAATAAAGAAATAAAGAAAAAGAGTGTTGATGATGCTAAATTTCAAACCCACAGACAGCCTAATACAGAAACATCAAAATTAGCCAAAAGCAGAAGTACTCAAAAAAAAATTTCTTTCCTCACATGATTACTTAATCAATTCAAGAAAACCATGATTGTTGAATGGTCTTAAAACTGTTGATCTGCATAAAGAAGTTAATCCTAGGGGGGCTGGTTGGGGGTGGGGGGTATGAAATTGATGGGCCAATGGGGTATGAATATGATGGCCAATTCCATAATTTTCAGTCTCTTTAAATAAAACCAAACTGGGGTCTCCCACACATGGTTAGATTCTGACCTGGGTTAGGTTCAAGTTAGCATTTTTTTAGGGATTGCTTGGATATAATTCTTTTTCGGCAAAAGGCCATTTTCTAGGGAAGATCTAACATCTTGGCAGACATCAAACTTAATACAATAAGTTAAAAAATTTATCATATTTGGTCCAATAATCACGCGACCTGGATAATTTACCTACATGTCATGATTGTATTTTCCAGATCATTTTTCAAGCTAAATTAATTTCCAGGTGGCGATGACTGTGCCAATGTCAGTCCAGGAAAAATTTCATTTTTGGTCCATTAATTTCCAGGAAAATGGTCCATTCATTTTTGATCCATTAATGGACCAAAAATGAAAATTAGCCTGGACTGGCAATCGCCCAGTCATCGACACATGGAAATTAATTTGGCTCGAAAAATGACATGGGAAATATAATCATGACACGCAAACAAATTATCCGGGTCGCGTGATTATTGGACCAAATATGATGAATTTTTCAACTTATTGTACTAAGTTTGATGTCGGCTAAAATGTTGGATCTTTCTTGGAAATTGGCCAATATAATGGACCAAAAATGAAATTTTACCATTCTTTTTCTCTTTTTAATCAAAGTTAATTTGAAAAAGTTGATTGATTTTAAGTTTGTATTAAAATAATATTTAAAATAAAATAATTAAAGTTGATTAGCTGTATGAAAGATGTGACTGAAAATGATGAGTAGTTAAAATTATGTTGAATGAATTAATAGTGAATTAAAATTGATTTTGTTATGAAATTATATTGATTGATATTATTTAATTGTATTTTGAGGGTGGTTAATTTGAGTTAAATTTGAACTGTGATTGAATTTGTTTGAAAAATATTTATATCGAGAAATTTGTGAGTGGTCAGAATAACGTTTAAGTAATCAGGTGTCAATACATACATTAAGTGGTGGATGGCTCCATAAGAAAACCATCCGATTGCTCCATAGAATTTTTGTAATAAAAATATGAATACATTTTAAATTCAAATGTCAAAAAATAATATAAAATAATTTTTACAACAACTTGTAATTCTATATTTAAAAAATATGACGGGTCCACCAACTATTGCTTAGGTTGGCTCCTACAAAAATATTTGATGCATTTTTGTTTTTGAGTTGGATATTTATATTATTTTTTCGTAAACACAAATGGAATGAACCCCGAATGCAACGCAAATGCAAGGATCTTGGTCCAGTGTTAAGTAGCGCTTTGTAATATGTTAAGAGCGTTTTTAAGTTCCGGAAAAATAAAAAAAGAGCGTTTTTAAGTCCTCCAAATGATTAATTATCATCATTATCATTTAACTTTATAAGGGATTGTGATAAGATAAGTGGGATAAATTTGTACGGCGGCGCGGCGTGTGGGTTGGCTTGAGCCGAGCCATATTTGGAGATTTGGATGGTATCAGCAGATCACGGGTGTAACAACCGTGTGGCCGGTGCCCTTGGAAGCCGGAAACAATTCATTTTAATTATATTATTTTAATATTTGACACCTTTTTTGAATTTAAATTGCTAAAATTTATTAGGAATTTTAGTAGAAATTTTACGGTGAAAACAAAGTTCTTGAATAAATATAATTATGTAGTATCTATCTATTTGTTTTCCTTATTGGCTAACGGACAATTGTATATATGCTTCTTGCATAAGTTGGCTTTTTAATATGCTAGTTTGTTAACAAGTAGACATTTTCTCTGGATTTTTAACCTCGCTCCCAAATACTGCATTAATAGGCTGTTATTCAAGTAGAGCCGAACATTTTGTGCTCAACTTTATGCTCGTCTGATAATGAGTTGGCTTAACTCGACTCGTTTAAACTCGTGAAACCTCGACTCGATTTGTTTTCATAATTTTTTAAATTGTAAATGAGTTGTTCACAAACATAATTTGTTCGTACGCGAACATATTAACTAGCTCGATTGTTCATTCAAATCATATAAAAAAATAAAAGCGATGTTCACAAATGAACTCGATTTGGCTCGTTTAGTAACAAATTTAATTAGTTGTTTAAGCTCACCTTATTTAAGTTAACAAACGAGCAAAGATCGAGCTTTTACTAGTCAAATCAAGTTGTATTCATGAATAATTCGATTATTCTCGAAAAATCTATTGAGGAAAAGTTGAATTGTTTGGTTAATTGTAGCTATTTCTTGTATGCGTATTTACCTATGGATATTCCTAGTAAAACGTGAAATAGCAGTGGAAAAATATTAGTCACTGGTTCACACTAAATTCAAGATATTTTATTTAGTTGTACATTGAAATAGTTATACTTAGGATACTCTACTAACTCATAAATTCTAAGATGTTGGGCATTCGAATCTTTTACTTTTGTATAACTTTGTAATAATTGTTTTCATAGAATTTGCTGTTGTGATTGCCATCTTGACCTTTGTTTGCATACTATATTAGCTCAAACTTTAAGATTTTCTTAAGATCATGTGGAATTTTTTTTAGCTATGAGTTCCCTTTTAGCTTTTTTCTTTTTGCTAGGAGAAAAAATAAACTTGTGTTAGTCCTCTCTTTATTGTTCATTTAATTGGCTATATCACACTTATTAGGAAAATAAAACATAAATAAAGAAATAATCTTGGCCAGCATCACATAAACCAGCTTGCAAATTGAGTTTACTTATCGATACTCGTTTTGCTATTTTCATGAAATGTAACACTAACAAAGTGAAAGTGCAAAAGTAACAGATTCTTGCTTGTTACAGCCGAGGATAGTAACTTTTTAGCTAATCAACTTTAAGCGGTAACTTTGCAAAAACAGACAGCAAACCCATTTTCCCACTTTCATCTGCCTAATAAAGTTGGAAAAAAATATTGAATATCATCAAGGATACCCCTTTTTCACCTTTTGAGGAAAAAAGAATACCACCATTGTCCCTAACTTTCACCAACGGGTAAATTGATTTCATTTTTGTGACACGATTGAATTTTTAAAATATAAGTTTAAAAGTGTGCTTCAATCAGTACAACATGAGAACTTGGCCTACTCGTAAGGACAGTGTCTATATATGGAGTTTTTAATCCTCAGGATGGAATTTAATTTAATTAGTAACTAGAATTCATGAGATATAAGAAATATTAGCATGAAATAGTTCAAGGTTAATCCTTTTAACGCAATAGATTGGATCATTAGAAAG